AGCGAACCTGGTACTCTGCACCATACATGAATGCTGGAAACTTTTTAAGGACATTTGTGTAGCTCCAGTACTTAGGAGACTCAGTCAGACATACATAGTTGGAACCTCCACCTCTATGGCCGTAATGCTCTCCTCCTACACGACCTGAAGAGAAAAATTGCAATCAGACATTTCCAATGCGCATATTTGCATGTAAAGAGAGGAGAAAATCGAAATTTTTCAAGCAAATGAGACGTACATCTATTGCAAGTAAGTGTACTGAGTATATGATGCGGTGCGACTTAACACGCGCGACTTGACGTTCAAGACAGAATAGTACCGGTAAATGACTTGTCTTAATGTCTACCCATTGCCAGAAATTCCGAACCATTTGGGGCGGAGCTAATTATTTATGAGTTTAAGACACGTCGATAAAACAAATGTTTAACGCTTAATTGGACTATGAAATCACGCAACGGAAGGGGTTTTCATCCTTCGATAATTGGCTTCGACAATGGCGGACTCAAGAACTCCAAAGATGCACATAGTTCAGTGCTTCAATAACGTGACGATTTTTGCAAATATTTCACAAAGAAAGCAGTCATTGTTTTGAATGATGTTCGAGGGTCCGGGAAGAAGGATATACAACTTCTAACTTTCTAACGCCAAGTGTTTAGAAATAGTAAGTTATGAGGCTCTACAATACTTTCCCTGTCATTGATCATAAGAAGTAAGTTATCATACTTATAATATGGGAAACGAAGTGGTCTTTAATAGACATTAACCATGTTTATTATCAAATGAAAGTCAGAACATATAGGTCAGTGTAACTAAAGTTGAGGAAGGCAGTCTACATACAGTATCGGGCTCTCGAAGGGGATTGGGGCGGAGGGAAACGGGAGAGAGAGCTCAGGCTACAGACTACATAAATATAAATCAAACAATCTAAGAAAATAACTAAAAGCTCTATACATTTCTTGTACTCGATTTTCATCAAAGAGTTTGCAAATTTCTGAAATCAATAGACCATATCGGTTCGAAATTTCTGACAATGTTTKGAGCTTATTTTCAAAAATCCTACGATAAGTCGTAAGGATGACAT